AAAATAAAATAAAATAAAATAAAATAAAATAAATAAAATAAAATAAAATAAAATAAAATAAAATAAATAAAATAAAAATAAAATAAAATAAAATAAAATAAAATAAAATAAAATAAAATAAAATAAAATAAAATAAAATAAATAAAATAAAATCAATCCAATTTGATTCCCAAATGAAGGATCCCACGGCCCCTCCTCGTGACCCAAGCGGGGAAATCGCGGCGGGGTCGGAATTCCCTGAAGGAGGCGCAGAAATGGGAAAACCCGGCTGGAAACGGGAAAAGGAGGGCAAGGCAGGAGGAAAGCCCCAAAGGATCCCAGAAATTCAGGAAAAAGGATCCTGGAAATTCGGGAAAGGATCCTGGAAATGCGGGAAAGGATCCTGGAAATTCGGGAAAGGATCCTGGAAATGCGGGAAAGGATCCTGGAAATGCGGGAAAGGATCTCGGAAATGGAGGGAAAAGGATCTCGAGAATGTGGGAAAGGATCCTGGAAATTTGGGAAAGGATCCCAGGAATTGGGGGAAGGATCCCAGGAACTGGGGAAGGATCCCAGAAATTTGGGAAAGGATCCCAGATATTTGGGAAAGGATCCCAGGAACTGGGGAAGGATCCCAGATATTTGGGAAAGGATCCCAGAAATTTGGGAAAGGATCCCAGGAACTGGGGAAGGATCCCAGATATTTGGGAAAGGATCCCAGGAATTGGGAAAGGATCCCAGGAATTGGGGGAAGGATCCCAGGAATTAGGGAAGGATCCCAGGAATTGGGGAAGGATCCCAGAAATTTGGGAAAGGATCCCAGATATTTGGGAAAGGATCCCAGGAACTGGGGAAGGATCCCAGGAATTGGGGAAGGATCCCAGAAATTTGGGAAAGGATCCCAGGAATTTGGGAAAGGATCCCTGATCCCGGAGGAGCTGCACCCGGGCTGGGGCTGAGGTATCTGCTGGGGGCGCGGGGGGGAGTAGCACCAAGAAACGCCAAAAAAAGGAAAATCAACCCAAAAATCCGGGAAGGGGAAACGAAAGAGGCGGGAGGAGCGCGGAGAGAGCGAGGAGCTGCGGGAGCCTGGGCAGGGCTGGACACGGGATGGACACAGGGATGGACACGGGATGGACACGGGATGGACACGGGATGGACACGGGATGGACATGGTGATGGACACAGGATGGACAGGGATGACACAGGATGGACACACAGATGGACGCAGGGATGGACACGGTGATGGACATGGTGATGGACACAGAGATGGACACAGGGATGGATGCAGGGATGGACACGGTGATGGACACGGTGATGGACACAGTGATGGATGCAGGGATGGACATGGGATGGACATGATGATGGACACGGTGATGGACACAGGGATGGATGCAGGGATGGACATGGGATGGACATGATGATGGACACGGTGATGGACACAGAGATGGACACAGGGATGGATGCAGGGATGGACATGGGATGGACATGATGATGGACACGGTGATGGACACGGTGATGGACACGGGATGGACACGGGATGGACATGGTGATGGCCACAGGGATGGACACGGGGATGGATGCAGGGATGGACATGGGATGGACATGGGATGGACATGGTGATGGCCACAGGGATGGACACGGGATGGACACGGAGATGGACACGGTGATGGCCACAGGGATGGACATGGGGCTGGCGCGGTGCTGAGCACCAGGAGCGCAGGGTGGGGTTGGCTGCTCAAGGTTGGTGCTGAAGAGGAACAGCGCCAGGACCGGGCCCGGCCGGGCGGTGCCAGGGGTGTGCCCGAGCAGCACCGAGCTGTGTGCCATGCCCGGGCAGCGTGGGCAACCACCGTGTCCATGCTCTGGGCAATCACCATGTCCATGCTCTGGGCAACCACCGTGTCCATGCTCCATGCCCAACCACCGTGTCCATGCTCTGGGCAATCACCGTGTCCATGCTCTGGGCAACCACCGTGTCCATGCTCTGGGCAACCACCGTGTCCATGCTCTGTGTCCAACCACCGTGTCCATGCTCCGGGCAATCACCGTGTCCATGCTCCATGCCCAACCACCGTGTCCATGCTCTGGGCAACCACCGTGTCCATGCTCCATGCCTGTGCAGCGTGGGCAACCACCATGTCCATGCTCTGGGCAACCACCGTGTCCATGCTCTGGGCAATCACCATGTCCATGCTCTGGGCAACCACCGTGTCCATGCTCTGGGCAACCACCATGTCCATGCTCCATGCCCAACCACTGTGTCCATGCTCTGTGTCCAGCCATGGTGTCCATGCTCTGGGCAACCACCGTGTCCATGCTCTGTGTCCAGCCATGGTGTCCATGCTCTGGGCAACCACCGTGTCCATGCTCTGGGCAACCACCGTGTCCATGCTCCATGCCCAACCACCATGTCCATGCTCCATGCCTGTGCAGCGTGGGCAACCACCGTGTCCGTGTTCTGTGCCCAGCCACCGTGTCCATGCTCCATGTCTGAGCACCATGCCCATGCTCCATGGCCAACCACCGTGTCCACACGCCGTGTCCCAGCCCCACGGCCCACACCGTGTCCACACGCCGTGTCCGAGCACCGTGTCCACGCACGTGCCCGAGCACCACCGTGGAGCGCCACGCTCAAGCACCATGTCCACAACACGCGGTCAAATCCCATCGTGGCCGAGCACCACGGCCGAGCACGGGTCCAGGAACCGTGGCCAAGCACCGAGTCGAGTCCAAGCAGCAAGCAGAGCACCCGTGTCCGTGTGCCACGTCTGAGCACCGTGTCCACCCACCACTACACCTGAGCACCACGTCCATGGTGCGTGGCCGAGCACCAACGTCCACTCGCCATGTCCGAGCACCAATGTCCAGCATGTCCGAGCACCAACATCCATGCGCCATGTCCAAGCACCAGGTCCGAGCACCAGGTCCAAGCGCTGCGGTCAAGCACTGTCCACACATCATGTTTGAGCACCACATCCATGGTGCATGGCTGAGCACCATGCCCGAGCACCATGTCCATGCACCATGTCCGAGAACATGTCCACCACGTCCATACATCATGTCCAAGCACCGTGGTCAAGCACCATGTCCACACACCATGACTGAGACCACAGCAGAGCACCTTGCCCAAGCACCACGTCCATGCACCGTGTCCGAGCACCACGTCTGAGCACCATGTCCATCATGTATGGCCAAGCACTGCACCAAGCACCATGTCCAAGCACCATGTCCAAGCACCACGTCCAAGCACCACGTCCATCATGTGTGGCCAAGCACCATGTCCAAGAATCATGTCCAAGCACCACGTCCAAGCACCACG